TTCAGCATTGGATACAAAGTTTGCTATTTAGCTTGTGAAGCTGTTCAAAGAGTAGCTGTAGCTGTAGCTGTAGACAGTATACTAGACAGGATAGTATCCACTGTATTACTTAGCTGATAGTATATTACTTAGTTGATGCCATGGGAGTAAAATGTTTTCATACAGATAGATACACTGTGGAGCATGAAAAGAAAGGTCATTAAAAAATACCCACATTTAAACTGCTGCTAAAAGAAAAGCCAGTGAAGTAGACCAAAAGCCAGAGAGGTAATATAAATAACAGCTTCCATTTTACAAAAGCAATTTGTTACACAAATCTGCTAAGTGCTTTAGGAGACATTAAACTGTTCCTTGATACTGATAATATCACCATTTTAGAGATACAAACAGAGAGACGTTAAGATGTTAAATGATTTGCCCAAAATTATTCAGCTGGTAAGTGGAAAGACCAAAACTCAAATTCCAGTTTGTTGTCCATCCTCTTAACCAGTATACTACCATCACGATGAAAGCCATGACCAGATAAGGAATGCCTGTGTAGAGACTAACCAGGAATGAATAAGTTTCCTTACCCTTCCCTTCTAACTCCTGACTAAACCACAATGCATGTGTCATGAGCCTCCCCATCCCCATCCCCAAAATCACCAACCCAACCTCAGAACACATTCATGTTTTTAAGTTGGGACTCTTACTCTTTTTCAGGTTACTTTCAGTAATTTCATTAATGAGATGTATTAGTATAGCCCTACTAGTTATTTTTTTAGCTAATAACATAATGAAGTTTAAAAAAAAGTATTGGTAAGTTTGGATCCTGACATAATCTAAGATCACACTTGAATAAATGAAAGCTAGCTAAGTTAAAGCCTATCAATTAGGTTCATTCACTCATCAAACATTTATTTAGTGCCTCTTATGTGCCAAGCATTAGGGATAATAAAATGGTGTCTAAAAACAGATTCTAATGCTGTGTCTCTGGAAAAACTTTACTGCCAATTATGACACTTTTAGAGTTACTTTGTCTTGCCTTGAGTAACCTTATAAGCTACTTAAATGAAAAATATAATTTATTACTTAGTATCTTATAATACTGTGCTCCTTGAAAGAGGAAATAAATAGTATCAATAACAAAATATTCCTCTAAGTTTGAAAGCTTATTTTGTAATTATTTCAATAATGGCTGTACTTAAATCAAGAATCTCTATATTATTATTGTGGCACTCTACTCACTAACAATATCTTCATTCTTAGGGAGTTAAGATCTAATTTAACATATATAAGACAGTAATTTACATCATTTCCCTCTTAATTTGGGACTCAAATCCAAAATTTTATACTAAAATGTATAATAAATAGGAAAATCTCATAATGACACTTTGTGTCAGATACTTTTACTATTTTAAAAAACACAAACTAGCTTTTAGATGCAAATACAACATAGGAAGGAGGGGTAATTAAGTTTAAAAAATTTTAGAAAAAAAATTCTTGAAGAAAAATTCTAACATACACCTGAACATTAGCTTTTAGAATTTCTTGGGCAAAACAATTTTTACCTGTTAATAAAATAAGGAGTTTTCTATTATTTTCTTCATCCAGGGAAATAACAGATTTCCCTCTATATGCTCATTAGAAACCTATGGGAAACAAACCATAAATCCATTTGACAGTTACAATTTCAAAATAATGGAAGATATAATGTTGTAGACAAATAATCTCTTAGCTCAGAGATGTCTTCCTTAATCTAAATTAAATAAGAAAATCTATAAACTTTATTAAAATATATAGCCTAGCACATGTGAGACACTAGACAACTGCCTGCTATAATTATAAAACTGGATGGCTTTTATTCATTTCAGCTTTACTTCATCAACCTGCTTTGAAGCATATAAGGCAGGCATTTAGTTCAACACAAGGACTACCCACCTCCCCCCAGAAGTCCATTCCTTGATACAGACTTTCCTTAAGTCCAGAATTGTGGGGAAAGTTTATAACTGGTCACAAAGGAGCCTACGCAAGACAATAAAAGTGACTCAATAGAGTCCAACACCATCAGTGTTAGGCCATATTAAGAACCAATCTTGCTATAAGCTGGCAGTGCCCTCCTTTGTTGTGTACCAGATATCTATGTGCTCCCTGGATAGCAGCACTGGATTTAAAAGTATAGGAGCTGGAGCAGAAGCAGTTACCAAAGAAGCAATAAAAATCAACAATTTTTTTGGCTACAAAATAAGATTAGCCTTTTTTTTTTTTTACATAAGGGTCTATTTTAGAACCTTGAAAACAAAAATTTTTCTGCATTTTTTCACTGAAACATCTCTTTTTTGTGACTGCCTTTCCTAAGACTGGGGACAAGTGGTGCTTATATGACATATATCAAAAAAGAAATAGTGCTAACCATTAATTCTCTCTGATCCCTGATATAAAGTAAGCATAGCACATATTTATACAATGGACCAAAGACCAAGACTAGGAAGGAAAAAAGCCAACTGTGATATCAATACTATTTCTTCAGCGCACTTAGTAGCCAGAAATCTGCAAGCTCCTTCCTATCAGTACCAGATGCTACTGTCTTTCTCTGTCCATAAACTTCTAACTACTTTTTCTAGAGTTAAAAAAAATAATAAAACTAAACTCCTTATTTCTCATTTCCTAACCCAAGCTGGCTAGGAACTTCTCACAAGGATTTTAACAGGCCCAAATCAAAACTAAGGTCATAAAACTTCACAAATACTCAATACACAGTACTTCAGCAGATAAAAACAACAGAATAGCATTACACAAAACTGTAAAAGCCATAAGACAAAACTCATACTTTGCAAACAAAAACAACCAGAGTAAATTCTATAAGTAGTCATAACATTCAACAACACTGTACAATTGATTTCATAGGTTAAACACAATTATCACATGATCCAACAATTCCACTCCTAGGTGTATATATCTAAGAGGAAAAAAAAATACGTCCATATAACTTTTACAGAAATACTTACAGCAGCATTATTCATAATAGTCAAAAAACAGAAACAACTCATGCATCCATCAACTAATGTGATATAGCCACACAATGGAGTATTTTTGGCAATAAAAAGAAATGATATACTGATATATGCTACAACGTGGATAAACGTTGGAAACATTACACTAAGTGAAAAAAAGCTAGCCAAAAAAGACATGTTATTTGACTCTATTTATATAAAATCTCCAGAATAGACATGCATACGGAAGTAGACTGGGGTTTGCTGAAGGGTGTAGAGGGTAGGGCTTGGGAGGAGTGACTGCTCACGGGTCTGAGGTTTCCTTCTGGGATGATGAAAATGTTCTAAAACTGACTGTGGTATTGGATACAGAGCTCTGTGGATATCCTAAAAACCACTGAATTGTACACTTTAAATGGGTGAACTGTATGCTATGTGAATCATATCTCAATAAAGCTGTTATTTAAAACATCAATTTGTGCTGCAAAAGTTGAAAAGATAAGCAAAACTATTTTTAAAAAAACCAAAAAACATTATTGTAAACAGTTTGCCTAGCAAATCAAGAACAAAGATTCTTGATGTATTCTTTAACAAAAAATGTTACTGTTATGAAATAGTGAATACATATTTAATCAGCTCCTGCTAATTTTCTAAGAAAAGACCTCATATCCAGGAACAATGCTTACTCTCACACAGAAATTTACATATGTATACACATAAATTAAACTTGAAAGACTCTGCAGAGCGCATGTTCACAGACATTTTATGAGCCATGAGAAGAGAAGCGTACATGAAATTAAATGTAAGACAGATTTTCACTACAAAAATCTTTCATTCAGAGTATATAATCTCTCAGATGAGTTAGCTAATTAATGTCAATAACTAAAAAAGAGTTCTCCACACAAATAATAGTGTTCTTAAAATGTGTGTGCTTTGAGTCATTCATTTGTAATCAGGAACTAATTGTGTAACCTTAATGTAACAATTATAAAACACAATCTTCTGTGAAATAAAGAAAGATCTCTACTGAACTATATGCACAAAAAACATAAAACTTTTTTTGATTAATTCTTAAAAAAGCACTTCACCAGACTTAATTCTGACTGGTATTTTCCCTCTACGTTAAAATATTTTTAAGTAAAAGTATCAACGTACAAATCTTCAATGAACATATACATAATTTGAGGAAACCAAAAGATGACAAAATATTTTTCAAGCAGAACCTCTTAAAAGTAGGGAAATCATATGTAAGAAGAAACTTCTAGACTAAGTTTATACATTAAAAAAAAGAGATAGCAAGGACTATAACACGAGACTATGAAAGAAAAAAAGGAAAGAGAGAAGATATGCAGAAAGATCCCAAGTCAACAGAATTTATATGAAAAGGCCACGGTAATGTGAAAAATAACTCTAATTTAATTTTCTAATATTAGTTATTCATAGCAGTTATTATAAAAAATTTACCAAAAGATATGTGAATATAGTGGGAAGCCTCTAAATGTCATTATATTTCAAAACAGTACTACGAAAAAGTATCCCATTAGAGAAAATATGGGATAATAAAGATCCTAACACCATCACCCTGTTATGTTACTTAATTTTCAAAAATGTTTTCTTTAATTATAAAAAAACTAGAGAAATATATTTTAAAGCTAAATATAGATAATTGCTAAAAGCAATACAAGCTCTATGAAGACATTTAACTAACTTCAAGACAAAGTTATTAAGTCTATGACTGTAAGAAAAATCTCTCAACTAGTCATGCCAAGTATTTGAATATATACATATCTATTACCTCACTATTTGTTGCAACTTGAAAGGGAGTAGGTGTATAAAAGAAATTAAGATTCTATGTTTTCTATAATAAAATGGCAATGTAATCGAGTCATCCCCCCACCAAAGTTTCAGAGATAAGGGCTCTAAAATACAAAGAATTAGATAAATAAAAGCTACTTCAAGCATTATACTGACCATTACTTTCACTACAGATGACTAAAATCAAGTAATACAGAAGTTTAAACAACTTACATTGTTGTTGCGAGTTTCTACTGCAGGGAATTTTCTGACTATGAATTTCACAGCTGATTCCAGGTTTTTGTCAATAAGGTAGGATGGTTTTGCCTTGGGGTCTCCACAAGCCTATAAAACAACAGCAATAAAAAAAAAAAGTGAAATGCATCCTTCTTCTAAAACCAAGGAATAATAGCAAATCTGTAATCAGAAATCAGAGAGATATTTGTTTTTGGTGAGCAGGTGATAAAATGAATAGGCAAAGTGCAGGGATTGTCACAGCTGAAATATGCAATGGGAGACAGTACAGAGATGTTCTTCTACTGAAAAAAATGCATGGAAAGTTTCAAAGCAGTTAGCGCAGAACAGCAGTGAAGGAAAAAGCTCAAACCTAAAAAAAAAAAAGAAAAAGAAAAAAAATTCTTGGTTTGAGGTAGGATTGTATTCATCTGAAGCTAATAAAATATTATAAAATTAAATATTCAGTAGAGTACTGGAAATGTTTCTTTCTATGTGTCATATAATAAAAACTTGTGTTTAAATGTCTTTTCCAAAATGCTTTCCTCATTCACTTTAAACATTTTAATACAAGAGCCCTAGTTCAAAAGAACTGGAAGCTGCTAAAATTGTCTTTATAGTACTAACGTGTGTTGCCTGTTCCTCTAAATATCTGAGTTACAACACTGTTTTCCATCATACCAGCAGCACTTTAAACAATGAAATCTACATCTATTCTACATCTTATAAGCACAGAACAAATGGAAATGTTTACATTTTGACCACATCAGTAGTACAGCATTCTCTGTAGTAAACTGTAAAGCATTGTGCAAATGTAAGGTATTATTGTTAGAACTTTTTATCTGAACTATTAGCAATACAGAATATAATCTTCAATACTGTCCACTATTTTATTATGTGACATACAATTAACTGCTTTCTAGTGAGATGTTATTTCTTAGGGAATTACTAAAATTATAACATTCCTACTTAATTTCTTTTTATTTCATTTTTAAAGAGGTTTGTGTCCTTTGAGAAGTTATCACTCTACTATACGTGAGGAAATATAGTATTGCAATTTAATGTTTTTTCATCGTTACTATGGCTATGTTGTGGATTGCAGAAAGAGAAGTTATGAAACATGAAACTGATCTGAAAGCGGGCAAGCGGGCAGAGGGAAGGTGAAAAGCTTTGCAAACCTTCCAAACTTGTCCTTGCTGGGGAAGCATTGTAATAAAAAGAGAGAAAATTACTTGTAAACAATGATTGTCAAACTATGACAGACGTTTCAGTAGAGAACTTATGCACTGCAGACTACGAATAACAAAACAAGATTAGAAGTATATGGTGCTACAATTTAAAGGTATTCTAAGTAGCGAGTTTTAGTATACAATAGATTTCATATATATTTAAATACTACTGTGTAGGTGTACAACCATGTCAGTTTCTTGGTGCTCTTTCTAAATCAACTTAAAATAATACTAGAAGGAAAAATAAAGACTACATGCAACTACAAAAAACAGGAGCAAAACCATCAGTGAAATTTTACATACCTTAAAAAGTAATGGTAGCCAAGAATAAAAATAAATCGTTATTGGATGACTTTTGCATTTCAGCTCAAACTGAAACTATGCTTCAAATATCAACTAATTCCCTTCCAAGCCAAAGTATAAAAATCAGAGCAAACATTCCTATATTTTCCAAATGGAAATAGGAATGCAGTAAGAATTATCTTAAATATCAAATGTAACTAGATAAAACAAAATTAACTGTAAGAAATTTAGAACTTCATAATCCTTAACCAGAATGACACAAGGCTATTATGTAAATTCCATTTCAACATTATAAATATTAAAATATATCTTAGAGTAGACTATCATTTGCTTAAAATATTTCTCATAAATTAGTCTTCCAATTAATCCACTTCTCCCAAAATATTATACTATAAATAAGAATAACTAAGAGCCACACAACTAAGAGCTTGTCCAAACAGAAATAGTTACATGTTAGCATATGCAGCATATATATGATTTCCTCATATCAATGATAAAATGAAAATCAAGTTTCATAAACACTCCTGAGGTAGTGCAGAATCCTAAGGTGATTCAAATTATTTCTTAAGATATGTATTATCTTTCATACTCTATTTAAAAATTTAGCTACCTAACATTAGTGGCTACCAAATAGTAAAAATATGATAGACTACCATACCCATTTCCAATGATCACAAATTTTATTGCAGAAGAATTTAAGTAACTAAAGATTCTGTGTATGAACAGCTCTTCCTTATTACACTGAAAAAATAAAGAATGGAATTTCATTTCAGTAGAAAAATAAATGGTTATAGTCTTTCCTTCTAATTGATTTACTTTTTCCCACACTACTCAGTGAGCCATATCTAAACAAACTGCACTGGGAGGCAGTATGCCATAAAGATTAAGAACACAGACTCTGGAATAAGATTGACTGAGTTTCAATCTTCATCACTTACTATCCATGGGACCTTGAATATATTACATAACATCTCCTAGTCTCAGCTTCTTCATGTAAATGGGGAAATTAGTACTTACCTCATAGAGTCATTATGAGGATTAGAAGAGAGACAGATAAACCATGAACAGTATTAAGCAAAGGACTGGCATGTACTACTTTAAAAATGTTAACTGTTGTTAACAGTAACTATAATAATTATAATTGCCTAAGTAAAAGTCTCATATGAATAGTACTAGTCTTCAACATAGTATACAGAGCTAGCAATAAAAACTACAGTTTCTTCTCCCAGTCACTTATTACTTTCATTTATCCCAAGTTTAAACATACCAAATATGATTTATAGAAAAAGATTATTAGCCTAGTGGTTAAGAATATAAGTTCTAAGATAGGCTGTCCATGTTCAACTCCTGCTCCATCACTTTCTAGCTACAACCATAAGCAAGTGATTTTCTGTGCTTCAGTTGCTTCATCTGTTAAACAGGTAATAATACTTACAATCTACCCTAAAAAGTTTTTAAGTCCATTACATCAGTGTCTGTGTGTGTGTGCACATGTATAGAATTTTTAAGGGCAGCAGGCATACTATATGTGCTCAAAAAGATGCCAATAAAAAATACAAGATTCATAGATACTATACAGAGGTACTAGGCATCATTTCATTTTTTCCAAAATCAACCTACTTGATTTATTTACTTAACACCAATAGAGACATTTGCAAATTCTCAGGAAAAAAAAAAAAGTAAAAGTGCAAGAAAAAAAAAAACTTGACTAAAACCCAGCATCTATATAAATACATCTTGGCAAAGAGCCATACTTAATAATTCAGTTGAGAAGCATGTCCCACAATACTGAAGGAGTACAGCAAATTTCCAACTAACCAGATGTCTCAGTTTATAAAGATTAATCTTCTTCCCCACTCTAACTCAAAAATTTAATTTTGATGACATTGAGGACAAAGAAATCATAAGTTAACACCTAAAAGAACACAGCCTGCAGATGGTACACCTAAAACCCTATCTCGTCCTACTACAGTAATATTACACAAAATTAATCTGTTACCCTGAAAAGTATTGCCCTTTGAAGTACCACATTTAAGAAAATGATATAATACTACTACACTTAGTTATCAATACATTTTAGGCTAATACATTTCAGAAAAGCTTACCACAAAGATTGAATAAAAAGATATAACAAATTACCAATTCAAATAAAACTCGAGTACTTTTAACCTGCCTATCCCCACCTCAGAAAAAGGAAAAAAACCAAAAAAAGTAGAGGGCAAAATTGTGTCCAAACCCCTGAATCTTACAGCCCTACAAAAAAGGTTTTATACATAATTGGCTAAAAAGGCTATTTCACCAGACAAAAAGAAAACTATCTGAACCACAGAATTTTTTTAAAAAGCACCCTTCTAAAACTTTGTTTTAGTTTATCTTGGATTCAGCATTATTTCATAATGCAGAGAATACTGTAATTTAAAATTCCAGAAGATCTAAAGCAAATTTAAAAATTTATGTACTTAAATTTCCAATTTTCAGAATTGGAACTTTATTTCCTATTAGTATTCTAATTATCTTTAAATTCAACAGAGACTAATACGGTAGATAAAATGACATTACTGTTAAAAGAAATACATAAACATATTAATTAACAAGTCTGAGTCAAGTAGATCACAGCCCATATGACCTTAGGCAAGTTGCTTAACCTAAGCCTCACACTCTAATCCATAAATTGAGGATACTATTATTACCTACTTCATAGGGCAGACTGTTCAGATTTTTAAAAGACAAAATGCACCTGTAAGTGTTTATTCCAGATGCCTGGCACACAAGTATTTATAAATTTTAAATAATTACTTTCTATTTTTTTAAATAAAACTTTTCAAAACACATGGATATTTATAGTGAGCTCCAAATTATCAAAATAAGATTTTCCATTTAATCAATTTATAATCAATTCAACGTTAGTATTGTCAATTCAGTATTTTCAAGTTGGGTTTTTGTTTTTGTTTTTTTGCAAAACACAAGTATAACATTATTATCAAAAACAAAGAAGAAACATGTTTCAGAAAGCCACATAATATTTTATTCAGGCCACAAAATAAATGTCTTTGATTAGAAACCTCAAAATCAGATTTTGAAGTGTGACTTTAAAACAAATCTTTCTGCCAATCTACCACCAAAATCCCTTCCCAAGGCCCTTCCTCAGGCTGTCACAACATATAGATTACATACCAACTTAATTTCATATGGTTAATGTTTTGTATTTTCTCAAGAACTTCCTTACCACAATGTTAAAAAAAAATCAAATACCATCAAATCAAATATAGAAATAGTCCTCTCCTTATTCATAGGAGATGAAGAACACCCAAGAAAAAAGAAAACAATAAAGACACTGGAGCAGGGAGTAAAAAGAATATTTACTGGACACCTGTTGCATGCAAAACACCTATGTTCAGAAATTATCTAAACCATCACTCAACAGAGAGGAAAGGCACTTCAAAAAAATTAAGTGACTTGCTCAAGGTTTTATACTAACTTTGAGTACCCAAAGATTCCAAAGCACTAAAAATACTTATTTAAAAATGTATGTGCCCAAAAAACGTATAAAAAAACTGTTCCATTCTTTCAATACCTCACCTGCTCAAAACTTTTATTGGAGTAATCACTATTAGAGGAAAAATCTGATTAGTTCAATCAGCTTTTTACATTTCTAGTCTAACTCAGTAATAAAACACATTCCTTTGCCAAAATACCATAGGACAAAATAGTTTTTTAAATATAATACTTTAATTGAAAAAAACATGAACAAAATTCAGGGATCAGATTGAGAATGTTTATTTGTGAGAGCAGAGAAAAGAAATCAGCCTCATCTGAATCATGTCAGGGAAGAAGAGAAAAATACAGAATGTGACCAATTTATGCTAGGAAGAGGAATCTAATTTTTACTCAATAAACAAGAAATAATAAACTTGTTTTAAAGTAAGTTTTGCAAAACTGAAGGCATCAAGGAATCAAGGGGGATTCTCCTTCAAGTCTTAACAAATTTAAATAAATGCCTATAGGAAAAATGGACATTACCTAAGATCATGAACTATAAAAGTAACTTGCTTATAATTCTTTTATTTTCTAAGTTTAAAAATAACAAAAGTAATACAGTCTGAGATTTTCCAATAATTGGAAACTCCATCAAGATCAAAACAAGACTCCAATTCTAGTATTATTGGTTAATTTTTTTTCACACGTATCACCTATATTTTGGCCAACCAATCTGCTTTCAACTTCCTTTTGAGCTCTGGTAGGTAAAAAAAAAAAAAAAAAAAAAAGAGAGAGAAAGAAAGGAAAAAAGTAACCCACTGCTACACTTTGGATTAATAAGCTTGATAGGAAAGTTTACTTAAATTACTGGAAATGCTTTTAAATTAATGTAATCTTATAAATTACCTCTTAACTAGAGCCAACAGTAGCAGATTTAAAGATATATAAATTAGGCTTATTGTTTTCTAAGTACAGGTTCTGGGGAAATCATAAATGAATATTTCAACCCATTATGTATTTCAAAATTTATTATTAAAAATTTTAATGATTCAAATTAAAGTTATTAATTACCATTCGATTCTCAAGAAGATGTCAATGCCATTGTTACTTTCAAAGATTTTTCAGCATCTCAGTTTACAGAACAAAGACGCATCTCAGTTTACAGAACAAAGATGTTTGATTACAGT